ACTATTTCCAGTCCTGGAACAGGATATCCAGAATCTCTGCAATAGCAACCACAAAAAGATCCTTCCATCAGTACAAATTACCAGGTCAAACGCTTGGACCCAAAGCCATCAGGAAGAACTTGCCTCTTCCTCAAACTATGCAGTAGAGAATTGACCCTCGAAGGGACTCCGAAGGAGGTGCAAGATTCCCTGCAGTGAAAGAGGGAGAATAGCAGAGGCCCTGGTCTCTCTTTGGTGCTGCCAGGAAGTAAACACTGGATGGTACAATTTGTAGGAAAAGAAAATTACCTCTAATTGGAGGTTGGGATAAAAATATCTCCAATCTGTAAACAAAGTTGTTGGAGCATCCTTGAGGCACACAACTTGAACTGCAGAGCTGCAGATATGCTCTCTACCCACTGTTAGTTCCACACCTTCCCCGGAATCGGCTCCTCAGTCTGGCTCCAAGATAATCCCCACTGGTGCTCATGCTCATTGGTGTCCTCAGTACTGAAGCACAGATGAGGGAAAGCTTCCCATCTTCTCCCCAGACCAGTGGAAATATTCATCAGGGCAAGCAGAGGAGAGAACTGGTCTGTTTTATCTCATCACAGGTGTCCTTCCTAAAGGTGGTCTGGGAAGTGTTGTTTGCTAGCTGTCCCTAACACCTTTTCTTTCATGTTTGGATAGGGCATCCAGCCAAGCCCTGCTTCTCTACTTCCTCGAAGAAAGAACTGAGGCAGACACCTCAACAGGGGAACTTGGGATTCACAGTTCTTAGGGCCCTCAGCCCTGGAGCAGCAAACCCTAGTTAGGTTTCCACTGTGGCCATGAAATTGTCCATTAAGTGTTGTTTGTTGTGCTGTGTCTTCAGCTCCACTGGTGAGTAAAGAGACCTTGGCTGATGGTGATGGGACACTCTAATTCCTCCTGTAGCAGAGGTAAGTGACTCTTTCTTTCACCCATGGCATGTATGATACGTTTACTTAAACACACACTACACAAAAACACACACTAACACACTCTAGCACACGAACACCCAGGCTCTTTTCGGTGAAATATGAAAGGGCTGCTAAACAGCTCCTTATAAAGGTGTCTCTCTAGGAAGACACTTTAAGCCAAAACTTTGGCATTAATATGATCTTTCTCAGCTGTGCCACTACAAAAGAAAGGACCTTGCAAATAAATTGAACTGCAAAAGAACTTCCCTTCCTCATATAGCATGAGCAGCACATCTCGTTAGAAGGGGTGAAGGTTTTATCCCCTACTGTTTCCTTAGATTGCGGGGGGATCCTTCTATTTAGATGAAATTAAAGAAATACTTTGAAGAGAAGGAGCAGGACCTGATAGTTGGGAGAACATGTGAGAGACCAGAGTTGGAAATATTTCAAGGAAGAGGAAACTTGAATGGAGGTAAGATGGAGCAACAGGATCTTTGATAAACCCTGAAGAGGAATGCTTTTATAGAATAACTCTAGGGTCACAGATTTCCCTTAGTCAATGGATCTTACTTCCATCATGCTGTGAGGGTTGACTTCAGGTGATTGTTCAGGTGTATAATGGCATAGTGAAGGGGCAGAAGCCATAGCCATGTTACTTTTTAAGAATATAATCACACTGAGAGAACAAATACACATTGATGTAAAAGTTCCTCTTTGCTTCTCATTCTCTTTGACCCAACTGCAGACTGAAGGTACTTTTCTTTATCAAGACTCTCCAGGAATATTGTAGTCATTTTTCCCATTCTGAGCCAAAATAGTAGGAAACCGAAGGGGCACAGGCAACAGATATTTACTGAGCACCTAGTATCTTTTGGAACTTTATTTCACATGATCTTCACAACGACCACTTGAGGTAGGTATTGTTATCCCTATTTTACAGACAAGGAATCTAAGGCTTAGGGAAATTAAGTAACTTTCCCAACTTTACAAAAGCCAAGAATTTGCATCATTGCCCATCAGACTTCAGAGTTTATGTCTCCCCTCTTGTAATTGCTGATTCCAGGACCTCTCCAGTTTGTTTAGAGGTGATTCTCACAGGAAAACCCTACTCTTTGCTACTTGATTTACACTTTGCATTAGTATTGAAAAGTCTTGCACATGCTTTTGGTCAAGTTTAGCACAAGTGTATTTAGTTCCCTGAACTCTTTTAAGAAATGAATCTCTCCTTAGTAAATCACACATTAGAAACAAGCATATTCAGTTGGATAATGTGGTGATAGAAGCACAGACGCCACAGCTTCACTCACTGAATGCTTCCAGACCTCTGGTTCCCTTCTGAACAGGGCCAAAGCTCTCCTGGGAATAATTAGATCATATTAAGAAGCAGATCACTAGACAGCCAAAGGCATTCTACCCTGTCCTGGTGCATCACCAGTTAGGCTCCATTCCCGGATTGTGTCTCAACCACCAGCCATGACATGCAGACTCCATCAGTGGAGGAAAATCAATGTTTTACAATGAAGCACCTGCATCCGCTCTCATAGGAACCTCTGTTCCATATAGAATATTCATGGAGCCTTTCTCTGTGGTCTTGTTCTGAATTTCAAAAGATTCCCTAACAGAGAAAACCATTTAACAGACAGAACCATGTCACAATGCAAACACAGGAAATCAAGCAGGAGAAAAGAGGCACTAGTTTCTGAAAACTATTCCGTCCACAGTCAGACACCTCATACTTCCCAGGTAATCAGAATGGTTCTTTTAGTTAGGCAAATATGCCTGATTATATTTCCAAGAACTAAAGGGAATGATAAGACAAGAGAAAACAAAAGGAAAAAAGTCAGTGGGCCTAAGAAGATTTTTTCTCTTTTTAATTCCTGTATGTTGTGTTTGATGAAGGGAGAAAGGCTGCCATGATAATACAATTTTCACATATTTTTATTTGTGACTTTGGAATATGGAGAACTGGAACAGAAAGAGGGTTTAAGAAAAGAAAGACAAAATCATAATAAGTGGTTGAGTTATTTTTAAAGTTTTTATTCTGTCTTTATGAAATTTTGAAAATGTAATTAATTCACACTTGCAAAGGTTTGAGCAATTATAAAAAGTTATAAAGAAGATCATAAAGTGATGACAGTTGAAGAATGTCCTTGGCAACAGCCTCAATTTATTTCATGTTTCTTGGCGTTCATAATTTGGTATATATGTGAATTATACACACACAGTTTCCTACTTTGTGAAAGCTAAAAATACTAAATGCTAAAAAAAATGTAGGGTGTGTGAAAAATGAAGTCTTTAAGTTAAACATTTTTAAAAGTTCATTTATTTTACTTTTGAGACAGAGACAGAGAGAGAGAGAGAGAGAGAGAGAGAGAGAGGAGAGAGAGAGAATGCAAGTGGAGGAAAAGAGAAGGGGCAGGGAGAGAGGGAGAGAGGGAGAGAAAGAATCCCAAGAAGACTGTGCACTCTCAGTGCAGATCTTGACATGGGGCTTGATGTGGCGGTTGATCCCATGATCTGTGAGATCATGACCTGAGCTGAAATCAAGAGTTGGACATTCAACTGACTAGCCACCCAGGCACCCCCCACTAAGTTAAACATTAAAAAATAATAGTTGTTGGAGGGGTGCCTGGGTGGCTCAGTCGGTTGGGTTTCTGAGTTTGGCTCAGGTCATGATTTCATGGTTTGTGGGTTCAGGCCCCATGTTGGGCTCTGTGCTGACAACTCAAAGCCTGGAGCCTCCTTTGGACTCTGTGTCTCCCTCTTTCTCTGACCCTTGCTTGCTCGCACCATGCCTCTCTGTCTTTAAAAAATGAATAAATGTCAAAAAATTTAAAAAATATATAAAAAATATTTGTTGTTGTAAACTCTGGCATATTTTACTAATAACTATACTTAGAATTCTGTTTTCACTCTGTTGTTTCCTGAAGCATCAGGGATACTTTCTATATTAGATATAATAAAAGCTATTTCAAGATTTTTCCACAGTACTTTTTATTTTTTAGAGAGAGAGACAGAGGGAGAGTGGCAGAGGGAGAGAGAGAATCTCAAGCAGGCTCCATGCTCAGCATGAAGCCCAACGTGGGGCTTGATCCCATTACTCTGGGATCATGACCTGAGCTGAAATCAAGAGTTGGGTGCTCAACCTACTGAGTCAGCCGGGCGCCCCAAGAATTTCCATGGTAGTAAGTGACACTCAAAATCTCCTGCATCCCTAGGTCCAACTTCCAGTACCTTTTATGCTTCTCTTCATCTTATCTGCTTGTCTTCATAAGATTCTGCTCCATTTTTCTACCCTAGCCTTATCATTTTCCAATATTGAGAAATCAGAGCAAAGAATTATCATCCTGCTTTTCTGCAGAATAAACTATGGGCATGCCATCATGCTTTTGATCTACCACAGAAACTATGTATTGTGTTGAAAGACATCACTATTTAAAAAAAATGTTTATTTTTGAGAGAGAGACAGGGAGAGAGAATGTGGGCGGAGGTGGGGGCAGAGAGAGAGAGAGGGACAGGGGATCCAAAGAGGGCTCCGCACTGACAGCAGAGATATGGATGTGGGGCTCGAACTCAGGACCCCTGAGACCATGACCTGAGCCGAAGTCGGATTCTCAACCGACTGAGCCACCCAGGCGCTCCAGAAAGACATCACTTTTATATTCTGCATAATATATGTCTTGCTTATGTTTTAAATGGATTTCAGCGCTTTTTGCTTCTATCACATTTGGAATCAGGGACTCAAAAGAGGTGCAGGCTATAATGCTTTAAAGACAATTAGAATGCATCCTTATTTGTGGAATAAGGATTTGTGGAAATAATTTGAGGAAATACTTCATTTCCAAGTTTTAATTGAGTGCTCCTTCTCTGATCTGTAGTGTTCCATTCATTTTATAGCTATGGAAATTTACCCCGCCCCATTCTTGAACACGTTTCTTTATCTCCTCCCATCAAATTCGTTGAATGAGACCTCATGCGCTTGGGTCCTGAGCATCCCTGAATCCATAGCGACCAAATTTCAGCTTCCCTTGTTACTATGGTGACGGCTGTGCTGGTCCAGGTGGTCGCTATGGTAACTAGGGGCGGGTAGTCGGGGCCCCGGCAGGCAGGGCGCATGCGCGCGGGGGAGCCTAGCTGCGCCGCGCGCCCGCGGCCCCTCAGCTCCCCTAGACATGGCGCTGAGGCGGCGGCCAACGGTCCGGCTCTGCGCCCGGCTGTCTGACTTTTTCCTCCTGCTGCTTTTCAGGGGTGAGTGTGCATGTTTCTGCCTTTGGGAGAGGAGGATTTGAGGCGGATGGGAGCAGAGCGGGCCCGGAGCGACTGAAGTGGTTCCTGGCGGGAATAGCGGTCCCGGCTCCGGAGACGCTGGGGGCTCGGCCGGAGGAGCGGCGCGCGCCCGCGTCCCGGCGGAAGGGGGTCGATCGGGGGCCTCTGGGCGGGGTCCCAGCCGGGTCGTTGCGGGGGTGCAAGGGGCCGGTGCGAGGCCCGGGTAGCTCGCTCCGGGCGGTGGGCAGGTTCCGGGCGGTGGGCACCACTCTCTGGAAAGAAGGTGGAAGCTTAGGCGTGGGCTCGGAACTTGCTAGAACACACTGCGGAGCGAGCGCGTTGCCTAAAAGTCGACAGTGAGGGGCCTTCCGAAGTACCAGCGAAGCGCAACTCTGAGGCCTGCCTTCTTGGTCACAGCCCTCTGGGGATGTGCTGTTCATTTCTCTCTTGTTGTAAACAAAGGAACTGAATTGGGCAAACCCAACTTTCCTTTGGGGGAAATAAAATGCCATAGATCTCAATCAAGTATCCTTTTTGTCTCCAGCCTGGCCCAGGAGACCCTGCAGACCCTTACCCTGAAATAGCATCTTGGCCGTTTTCATCAGGTCACACTGACAAACTTAGGAGTTTTGTTTTGTCTTTTCCACTGTCCAGAATTCTCTTAGATTTGTGTGTCTCAGGACAGTTGGATGGAGGGTCTAATGTAGCTTGTATTTAGTGAGCATGTACTATATACTAGGCACTTTGAAATCTTCTCATTTAGAGCTTACAATAGCTTTGTGAGGTGGATTTTATTAACCCATTCTCAAATAAGAGAATTAAGACCTAAGTCAAGCCACCTTTTCAAGACTGCATCCTGAGTGAGTAGTAAAGACTGAAACCCATGTCTACCTAAAGCACACTACACAACACTTCTGTGGAGGACATCCTCAGGTAACCAGATGAGGTCTTATAGTTCTTAGGTCATTTATTGTTTGGCTCAGTTGCTGTTGTCATCCCGTGATGTTTTCCAGAATATACAAATTAAAACACAAAGTGACTGTTTGGGAGTGGGGGTGGACAGACCAGAAAAACAAAGCACTCCTGTGTTTGATGTCCATTCTTGTGGAATGTTCATAATGGTGGTAGATAAAAGTGAGGGTCTGAGGCAGAAGCTGTGGAAACAGGGCTCTATGATGAAGGATAAGTTTCAGGATATGGGTAGGTGTTGTCATATACTTTGCCCGAAAGTGATTTCCAAAAACATGTGGTTGGGAGATATAAATGATCAAAGGCTAGCCAGGGGACAAGGGTGTCAGGAATGTCCAGCTCCCAGCTTTGTTGGTCACACTGACACTGTCCTATTCACAGACTGGAACAACTCCCCATTGTTGAAAAGTTCTGTTCACATGAAAGTTTGCAGTTTTTATTGCAGACACATTTGGCAGTTGAATTTCAACTTGGTTGCTTGTTAATAAAACTAGAAGATGCTAAGGACTTTGTATACCATTAACTTTTTACTTTGTTTTTCTGGAGGTACAGGTTTTGTGGCTTTCTTGATATTAAGGGCTGGGATTTACCTGCAGAGCATAGGAGGAAGAATAAAATTTTGCAAAATAGGACTAATGACAAGGAATCAAGGTGGTAGGTTGTATTAATACACCTTAAGGGGCTATGGCTATCTTTTTCAGTAAGGAGCTCTTTTTCTCTTATTTTGTGTGTACTCTAAACACGCTGTAATACCTTGAAAACTTTACTCTTCCGCAGGTCATGACAGCCGTGTCTTTTTCATTTTTATGATTATTCTTTTCAAATACTATTATTTTTCAGCGTTGTCATTTAAAAAAAATTGTTCCTGATATAATACATTGTTTTTGTTGTTGTTCCTAATACAGTACATTCTTTATTAACCTTTGCCAGGCTGTTTAAGAATTTAATATGTAATTCATTTCATATTACTAACAACTTTAAGAGATTGTTAAAATTATTTTGTTCATTTTGTGCATGAAGAAACAGACTGAGAGATGCAGTAACTTGCTCAAGGTGATAGCCTATGCGTTTTAAATTTGGGAGTTTTGAACTATTTCTGTTAATTTAATTTGTGGTTACTTGTATCATTTCATTTGACAGTCGATTTGTTATGCATCAGTTTAACAATTTATCAAATGTTCAAAGCTTTGTGGTTTGCATATAAAATATTCTTTTGTTGTATTGGTGACAGGTGCAATTCAGCCTTACAAATGTTATGCCACATGGCTTTTTTGAATGATTATGTAGTAATATTTTTTGGCTTCCAAATCTTTTGATGTCCTAGAGAGAAGTGCTTCATTTAGAATTAAAACAGTAATATTTTGTTTATAATTATTGATATAATTTATTTATTTTTATTAATAATTATTTAATTATATTTAAATTATATTTAATTAATATAAAATTATTAATAATAATTAAATTAATTATTTATAATTATTGATAATTATAGTTTATAATTCTTGATATAAAACAAGCTTGTGTGCTTAAGTTTAGCAAAATCTAAAAATTAAAATTTCCTGGAAAAAAATTTGAAAAGTATTCTAAACCATTTTTTAAGAATGACTTATTTTATGTTATAATTCCTTTTAAATTTTCTGGCAGATATAATTGCTATCAGATGTGTGTGTGTGTGTGTGTGTGTGTGTGTGTGTGTGTTCAGAAAAACGAAGAACACCTGCCCTGCATTATGCAGTGCCTCAAATCAGCTGTTCATTCTCAAATGACTTGTTGATAGGCATTTATTCATGAGTTCAGGCTTCAGAGACTGAATGGATAGCTATTAGAGGTACTTAATCATAAGTAATTGCAGTATTATATCCAGACAAAATTATCAGACACCAGCCCCTAAGGTCTGTGTAACTTGCACTTAAGGAAGCCTAGTAGGATAGGCTTAGAACAGTTCTGAAAGAAACCAGATTTGTAATTAAGCACACTTTCTGAAATGGACACATAATGTAACTGAAGGAGCTATGGATTTAGTATATCAAGCTAGCAGCTGTTAGAGATGTGATATTAGCAGATTCCTTCTCCATAAATTCTTTGAGTTTTTTCAAAGCACAAGTGGGGTAAAAGAAAAAATATGTGTATGAATGAAGTGAGGATGTATGGAGTCTGTTGAATGATACTCTATTCATGAAGCTGGATTCTTTTTTTTTTTTTTTTTTTTTAAGATATGTTTAGAATCAGGCGGTGTGAGTATGATGCTGTTAGGGTTGAATACAGATTTCAGAGCTCTCTCTACCCTCTGAATGCTAACCATATATGCAAATAGCTTCACTGGAGTATAAAGAGATCCTGAAAGAAAGGTTTGGTAAGCACATTCTTTTACACCTAGTTTAGCAAGGACAGTATCCACCATAGTACTCTATATGGAGATCTAAAGCTTTAATTTACTGCCTCTTTGCCACTTTTCATGACATACAGAAAGCTTCCTGAGAATTAGCCCTTGTTTCTGATTTAAAGGAATACTGTAGTATTTTGTGGTGGTGTGTTTTGTTTTTAGGTAGTATCTATTCTATGTTATATATTTCCCATGAGTAGTTCATATGTTCAGTGGCAGTTTCAATGCTGATTGTGTAGAAACATCAAACTTTTTATAAGTTAAAACTATACAAACATTTTTAAAAATTTTTAAATGTTTATTCATTTTTTGAGAGAGGAGGGAGAGAGCACGCGCGCGCGAGTACGCGCGCGCGCGAGCACGCGCATGCGCACAAGTGGGGGGTGGGGGGGGGAGAGAGAGAGAGAGAGAGAGAAAGAGAAAGAGAAAGAAAGAAAGAAAGAAAGAAAGAAAGAAAGAAAGAAAGAAAGAAAAAGAGGGAGACACAGAATCCGAAGCAGGTTCCAGGCTCTGAGCTGTCAGCACAGAGCCTGAGGTGGGGCTTGAACTCAGGAACCACGAGATCATGACCTGAGCTGAAGTCGAACGTTTGACTGAGCCACCCAGGCACCCCATATTTCTTTAAAAAAAAGTTTTTAAAATTTATTTATTATTTATTTTGAGAGAGAGAGAGAGAGCATGCATGAGGGGCAGAGAGACAGGGAGAGCTAGAATCCCAAGCCTGCTCCACGCTGTCAGCATGGACCCCGATGCAGGGCTTGATCTCGCAAACTGTAAGATCCGTGACCTGAGCGGAAATCCAGAGTCTGACGCTTAACTGATTAAGCCACCCAGGCGCCCCTACAAACATTTTTTTTCCTCATGTTATTTTTCATTTTCACAGAATCCCAAAGCTTCTATGGTTCAGACTTCTTTCGGTGAATTATTGCCAAAGTCAAATTATGCTATATTCATACTCCTACTCTGCCTAACCTAACCTTGTCTCTCAGTGACCTTTCTTATTTCTGTATAAGCATGACTCTTAGTTTGTAGTTCAGTTTAGTATAGCATTTATTGAATATCTGTTCAATATATTGAACAGGCGCTGTTGTGCATACTACGGGTGCAGAAATGAATAAAGCATCCCCAGCTCTTGAAGAGCAAGGATAGTTGTATGCTGAATTACATTGGGTTTCAATTATTGGGTATAATACATTCTATCTTTTCAATGACACTAAAAACTCATTAGAAACCGAGGCTTAATTTCATTTCTTTTGTATCTTTCTAGAGATGACTATAGTAAATATTCTCTTTGTCACTTGTAAGTTAGTTAACTATCTTAAGTACTTCCTCTGTGTCTAGGCATTTTTTATGTATCTTAGCTCCAGTGGTCCCAGGAACTTTTGAGAATTCTTAGTTTTTACTGCAGTAGTTTCTGTGAAAGAAAGCAAATGGTAAGTATTTCTTGGTTTAATTTAAAAATCTTACCATGTATGCAAGTTATACATGGTTAAGAAGAAAAAAAAAAACATGGAGAAATGTTTATGAATAATTTAAGTGACACAAGCTGCAGGTAGGATTAGCATATACATATGATTACAGTTATGCAAAAACTAATCTTATGCTTAGGGGGAAAAAAACCCCCTGGAAT